CCAAGAACCGTATGAAGAGTTTAATTTAAAAATGCTTTTGATCCCTTTTTGCAGTGTGTCGCAATTTAAGCTGTTGTCTGAATATTTGTTTATATTTTTATTTTTTGCGTACGCGTCCAACTGTAGTTAATTAAATTTTTGATTAACACAAAATTGAGCTGACGTCTCTGCTGAGCGTCATTTATGGCATGAAATTAACGCCATTAAAAATCACTGCATACTAATTAACTGCAGCTGCAACGGCAACGGCAACTGCAACTGCAATGGCAACTGCAATTGCAGCATTTTTTCTGCTTTTACTCTTTGTATCAATAAAACAGTGTAAAATAAACCTTTGCAAATGAGAAACGGTAATCCCAACGCCAAATGGAACTACATGAATTACTCACCAGCATCTGCAAACAGCTTGTTTCTTTGAAGTCAGTTTCAGGTGCCATAATCAAGACAAGGAATGCTGAAATGTTTCAGCCCAAATTAATATTTCTGTTATTTATTAAAAATTAATCATTCTCAAAGATTTCATTGCAATGGAAACGTCTTTCGCCTTTCCCATCCTTCGATGAGATACGATAAACTGAGGAGTAGAAAACCATTGCCAATAAATTGGGTTAGTTTATGGAAACCTTTTTAAGTTGGCAAAGATATGCTGCCAGTCTTGGCCTCTACAACAAGCACTTTTCTGGAAAGAGATACTGCTCCAGCATGATCATTGAATGCAAAGCAATCGAGTATAGGGACAAAGGAAAACAATTGTGGGCTCAACTCCAGAGGAAACTATGGCAATAGGGAAGGTTATTAGTAGGAAGGATCTTCCTATCAGTTTCAAGCAAATTTAAATAAATCAGCTTTAAATGCATTTGCTGTGTGTATTATGAGCAAATTAAGTTTAAGTGCGCAGTAACTGCCATGCGGCCTTAACTCATTTGATGTTGATGAGCTCAGTAAACGTTGAAAGCCAAATGTTGCTTGTGAAAGCCAAAGAGTACGCTTTGTGGCAATGTTGTTTTTGTCTTTGAAAAGAATTGAAAAAGAAAAAAATGAAATCAATTGACATCTGTCGAGCAGCAAGTTGGCACAACAGGCGGGAAGTGTAAGTGTCTAGGGGCGTGGTGAGGGCGTCTGCCGCTGCATTGAGAACTGCAACAGCTTCGTGTGTTCTCAACGCTGTTTGAATTAACTGACAGCGGAAACAGGTCGCGTCGAGCTGCGTGTTGTTCTGCGTGTTGTGTGGTGCAGCCGCCACGCCACGCCCACTGGCTTGCCGTGTCTGCTGCCGCCAAGCGCTTGTTTACAAAATAAGCGAAAGCTGTGCCAATAAGCCTCAACGTCGCCTGCACTTAATTTATTTGCAACAAAACGTGGAGCAGCCGAAACTTTTACGCAAGTGCAACTTTGCTTTACGTGTTTTTCTCACTCGCATCCGCATCCGCATTCGCATCCACATTCGCATCACTTGGCTTGTTTTCAACACATTCAGCGAGAGCGCGGACCACGCTCTTTTTGGCGACCACAAACACGAAAGAGACGGCAGCAAGTCTATCGAATTACATGGAAATGGGAAATGGGAAATGGCAAAAGGAAGGGGGAAAGGGGGAAGTGGAAGGAAGAAGGAGAAAGTCAAGATGTGGGGCAAGTATCGAAACTGGGGGTTGCAAATAATGCACAACGTCTGGTTTTTTAAGCTCCAGCTGTGAAATTAAAGCATTTACATATCCGCTCCCCCGAACAAGCAGATCCTGAACGGCATTGATTCAGTTTTGAGCTAACAAATATGCGTAAGAGATGAGACGAGACGAGGCTCGTAACATTTGTACCAGAAAAGCTTTTAACCATATTAAAAGTAATTTTCAATTAGTATTCCGTAGGGCTGATGGCAGGAAACAATTTCCAATATTCGTTTAGTACTTTTAGCGAAAACTGAAACAGTTATCAGCGTCGCTTGCTTTTGTTTGCCTGGCAATTCGCACACGTCTCGCCTTGATAAGCAAATAAAATATGTCACGAGCACACAGGGCGTCCATTTATAAATATTATTTGCCGGCAGACGTAACAAGTGCAAGGAGCACATTCCGGCTTTAATTTTGCATATAAATTACAAGCAACAAATAATCAAATGCAAATATGTTCTTAAGATTCAATTTTTGTGCAATCAACACACTTAAACGCATCATCACCAAATGCCATCAAGAGCAAACGACAACAGCTCTAGAGGGGGAGAGTGGGTGGGTGGGGCTGAGATAGATTGCAGACATTGGAATAGCGTTGAGTGTGGCGGCATGACAGACACAGAGCAGCGCTGTAACAGTGTCTATGTGTCTATGTGTGCATGTGTGTCTGTCTTCTGTCTGTGTGTGTGTGTGGGGGTGTGCATGGATGTTTTCCTGTGTGCTCTTCAACTTTACGCGCTGTTTGGCAGCGCCTCAACGAGACGTTGTCCTTCACACTTGTCGCCAGCGCCCCATTTTCCTGCATGCAATCAAATTTTAAATCCTGCCAACTGTCTGGCAGCTGCCTGGCCTGCGCGTATTAAAGCCTCGTTAGCCCATTAAAATAATAGTCGTCGTGACTTCTGCACGAGTTTAACACGAAGCTAGTAAGCAGTTGGGAGATATGTGAGCTATCCGAGCTGATTACGCCTCAGCCTCAGCCTCAGCCTCAGCCTCAGCCTCAGCCTCAGCTCTCACTTTCAACCTCTATCATTGGCATCTTCGAGCGCCTTGCCAAAATTAGCACTCGGAATGGACCCGAGTGAATTGAATAGCTGATTTATGATCGCACTTAATGTGTAAATATGTAGCCAGGAGACCCACTGTCCACTCCGCGCCGTCTCCTGCCCTGTCCCTGCTATCTGGCTGAGCAGCTTGTTTGTTTATGCAGCGCACATAGGCAAAGGAGATAAGATTGCCAAAGGACAGATGTGAGAGGGGCAGAGCAGCTGCTCCCCTCCCGGCTACCCAACTGAATTGACCAACATTTGCTTAAGCAGGCGTGTGAAAATTGACCATTAGCAATGCAATATATTCTCAATCTCAGTATGATATAACTTGTTGGTGTGTGTGAATGTGCGTGTGTGTGGGGCTCTGATAATTGGTGTAAAGACCGCAGGCATTGGCAAGGGACAAGCGCCAGAAATAGGCTCATTTATTGTCTCTCGCTCGCACACACACACACACACACACACACACACACACACACGCATGCGTTTAATATGCAGCTGCATAACTTATGGCAGTGGGAGCCATTAATTTGAGTCTGCACACATGCAAGACACATGCAGCAAAGGGAACAAAGGGCACACAAGCAGCCAGGCAGGCAGACAACAAACGTTGCATAGCCGCAGGCGCACGTGCGTGACCAGAGCAGCCTGCCTGCTAGGTGACAGCTAGGTACATATATATATATATATATAAATGTGGCACATATTTTATTTTAATTTGCTTGACAATAGCCAAAACGAAAACGAATGTTCGTTTGGTTTGCCGGTTGTCGCCGTCGCCGCTGCGTTGGCATCTTCGGCGTCATTACGAGTGCTTCATTTGCCTTATTGAATCTGTCACACGTTTCACAATAGTTGACGCTATGTAGCTGAGGAAATCACAATGGAAGCACAAAACAATATGCAAACAATTTTTACCGTTACATGACTGAAATACACAAAATGCCAAAGGGACGGCCATGGCAATGGCAATGGCAAAGGCAAAGGCAAAGGCAACCCAGACGCACTTATGGTCACGTGCGTGCTATATATATATATATATATATATATATATAAATATATATATATATATATATATATATATATATATATATTTATGTTATAAATGTAGATCTATATATATTTGCTAAATAGTTCACAACTGACCAGACACGAAACTGTTTGGGCGCCCAGTGAAATAATTTCACAGGTCTCGGGTCGCAGCCTGCCTCGATTTTCATTTATGTTTGCAGATATCGTATGTAATTCTATCAGAGCTGCGGCATCGTGCACATCATATTTTCTGTATCCAACAAATTCTTATTTAATGCAAGTAAAATAGCGCCAAATTCAAATTATGCTTTAGCAAAAAAATAAAAATAAAAAATATGGCAACGCTGAACGCCCACAGACTCCACGTCTCAGTTCACAGTTCGCAGCTGCTTTGCATGTTAATTAGCTGGTCCTTTAAGAGTTTGCATTCAGCTTTGCTCCACTCACCAATTTATATTGGTATTAACTTGATCGACATTTTCCTCCTTTTAACGCACAAAAACTTGTCTGTCATGACGTGAGTGCGTGCGCGTGAGCGAACGTGCGTGTAATTTAAGAGTATGTGAGTCCTCAGTGATTGATGGTGTCCTACGAAAGGGTAGGGTAAAAACGGTAAGGCCAAATCCGAGTTGACAATGCAATTATAATTTAATTTGGATATTTTCCAAGGACCAAGCAGTAAATATCCCTATGAGGTGTAATATTTTAGACCTAATAGCTAATACACATCGGAATATAAAAGTTGACACAAAATATTAACATTTCCCATGCAGTGTTTGTGTTATCGTTGTGTTTGAAACTGTAAGAAGCTAATTCGTTAAGTGTGGAGCGCAGTCCTAAAGTGTGGAGCATATTCGTTAGGTGAGGAGCCGTCATCACTTTCGTCAAATAAACTTGATTCGTCAAATTTAGAACAGTATTATAACTTACGTTAAGTATGTAATAGCAAAAGTAGCATACAGTGGAGAAGAGCGCATTCTTTAAAAATAGTTGTTTATTTGGCATTAGCGCTCCTTAGACGTAAACCACGCGTGCTGTGTATTGTGAGAGTGCTACCAGACAGTTCAATTTAGGGATTAGCAAAGTGCGCAACCTTGTTATACGCGTAATCGGTTTTATTTTGAGTAACATAAATATTAACCTAGTGTATTTGCTCTCTTAACAGCACTGTTAATATTACGAAAATCCCAATTTTAAATTTAATTTTTATTTATATTATTATATATTTATTATTTATTTATAATATCCGCACGTTATTTATCATTCATTTATTTGTGTTGCGATTCACTCAAGCGAAATGCTTAGCATGGAGTACCACTGGCGTTGAATAAGCAAAAGTTCTTGCTGAGCAGACCAAATCCTTTTAACAAATTAAATTTTTGTTTGCTTTCCGTGGGATGCCTGTGGCTTGGCTGCAGCTTTGTGAGCTGCTCCATAATATCCGTCAACATTTGCTGAGCAATGTTCGCCTTGCGCCTGAGCCACTCCAAGCCCAAGTTCCCCATATCCTCCACATCCATAAGACCTGAGCCAGGCTGCAGCCCACTGCATCCCCTACAGGCCTTCGGCGGCCCCCTCGCCTTCGACTGCTCGCCTGGGCTGCTGTTAGCCGGTGACATTTCTGCTCTTGCTCCCACTGGCTTACACACGACACTGATAACAATTGAACTTACGTAGTTGCTGCGGCAGCTGCTGCTGCTGCTGCTGCTTTACTTGATACACAAATCATTCTGTTGGCAGCTCCAAAGCTTTGATAGCCAACGGGTAAACGTTTAGGCAGCAGCTCGACTGCTGTTTTCCTGCGCCCCGCTCTGCGATACCCCTCTTATTATTCCGTGCTGACTCGTTAAATACTGCCGACGTTAAGCAGCCGCTGGCGCTGACTGCGTTTGCTAACGAAATAATCGTTTAAGCCAAAGAGTACACAGAATCCAAGGAAAACGTAAGAGTGATCCCAACTAGCGGCTACCCTGTATACAAATCCCATCCGCACACTCGATCACTTGCCTTTTCCTTATCTAAGAATGTCCCTCTGTGCATCTGCGTAATCCTCGAATGCCAGAGACTTGAAACTTCAGATATACATTAAGTAGCTCAAGCATGTTCTGATTATTGATCATTGAAGCTAGAGGCACAAATTACTACCAGTTATACGCAGTCTTCATACTAAGTGAGTTATCTCTCTGATTTATATCAGTATCAGACACACATAGTTATACATATATATTTACAATTTCGCCTGTAGCAGCTTGGTGTAGTTTCCAAATGATGATTGTGGCGTAATGTTGCAGTAGTATTGGTGTGATGCGGAGAGTTTGTGTAGAGTTGCAAAAGTGTTATCCGAGTGAGTGTGTCTTAGCTTAGCTACTGCTGCTGAGCGAAGACCCGGCTGTGGCAGAGTGAGAGCGAGATGGCTATATAGGAAACTACCGGATATTTCTGTTAGTGAAGTACAGCACCTCGGAAAGGTGACCATATATTTAATATAAAGTTCTGATAAACTTTCCGCCGTTGCAGAAAGCAATATGCCCAATTTTGCTCTATTTCAATGAGTATTCAGATAACATATAAAAACATTTTTGATTATTTAATTTTTATGTTCTTTAATGGTTTCCTTTTAGTTTCTTTTTTGTTTTTACATTAATAGTTTTTATTTTGTAGTTTTTTGTTTTGTTTTGTTTTTTTTTTTTTTTTTTGGTTTGTGCTAATTATATTGTTAAACATAAAAATGCTGTTTGCTTATTTTACCCATACAGACATAAGTATATCGTTTGGTTGTTTTTGCCTTTTGATTGTATTTTCTGGTTGTTCGAGTAAAATGCGATCTTTTGATTCAATCTAATTCGATTTGATTCAATTTGATTTGGTTTGGTTTGTAGACTTGCTATGTGATGTGATTTTCCTTTTGCAACTTTGTGTTAAATTCGTAAAATTCGATGTTAAATTTAATAAACCATTTATTACACATTATATAAATAAATGCATATAAAAACGGATTAAAAATACTGCAACGCCATTGCTGGACTATAAATATATATATGATTTATATACATATATATAGATAAATAATAATTAAAAAAGTGCTGCGTACGAATTCTATCAAGTGTCTAGTTCTGCTTAAATACTTTTTGTTCGCAAATGAAACTCGAATATGCAGACTCTCTTGGCTGTCCAGGGTCCATGCAATGGTCCGCCCTGGCCCTCTTCTGCCTGCCTGACAACCTATATATGGATGTATATATATATGTATCTCTGAAGTTGCTATATTCTTATAGATATATATATTTATTTATTTTGGTTTTATCTGTGGAGCTAATAAATCCAGTGAGGGCTTTATTTATTGTATATTTTGTTAATACGGTTTCTTGTTGACTTTGCTTCTAAACAAATTTTGGCACATGGTTTCCTAAACGGTTCTGAAGGTTCTCTCATATTTGCTCGGCTAGATTTCATATAAGTTTTGTTGGCTAGTTTAAAATACATCTAATTAATATGTGGAGTATTCATATGCACTAATTGTAATTTGTAGTTTGTTTTCTGCTCTCTTAACTTGGCCTTTCGATCTCTCCTTCCTCGCTTCTTAACGTTAAACTCGAGAGTTGTTGAATGTTTGCTTCTAATTTGATTACGATTTGCTTTTGATTTCTATACTTTGGTGTTAAAAACATCTATCTACACGTTGACGAACGATCGTTTATTGTAATGGAAACACTAATTGTGTAGATGCTGCGATATCGTGTCATATAACATATATCAAATACCATCATATCATCTATCAAATATGAATACTGATTCAGCTGGCGACTCGTACTCGTGTATACATTGAATATATCAAATACATTTAGTTAACATTCTTCATTCTATATATATTGGCTATATATGAAGTTATTTCTGTTTCTGTTTCTGTTTTGGTTTCTTGTTTCAGTCAATTTCTTTTTTTTTTTTGTGACTATTTACAAAATGTAGCGCTAACAACTAGAGATTTTCTTGGAGTGTGACTGTATATATGTGTGTGAGTGTGTGAGTGTATACGTGTGTGTGTGTGTATGTACAGACATTTAGATTAATATTTTAGACATAAATATAAATATATTTGTACACATTGTATGTCTTGAGTTAATTATTAGTTTGAATTTCGTGTTTTAAATTCCTCGTTTTACAAGTGGAGAATGCGGAATCAATTCGAGAGAACTTACAAAAATATCTCAAGTGCCTAAACATTAGCTATATGTATGCAAGTTAAAAAAGAAACAGTTTTTGCATTGATCAAACCACAAAATTCGTACAACCTCTCTACATACATACATTCATAGAAAAACAGTTGGATTGTGAGTAGTACGAGTAATACGCGTTAGTATGCAATAGTATTCGAGTTACACGTCGTTAGTAGTTCGAGTTACACAAGTCGTTAGTACTTAACGCTAGATTAGATTAGATTAGATTAAGTTAGGTGTATAACGTATATATGCGTATAAATATATGAATCTATATACAACATTTTGGAAGTTCGATAACTGACCTGGGTTGTGGGTGCATGCCGTACAACATGCACAAATCGTAATTACCTATGTAGTTGTTATTAATATTTGTATATTTGTATATGTAATACGGTTATACGAGCGCTATGTGATTACGGGGAAATGGAGAGTAACAAATGGGATGTGTGTGCGTGTGTGTGTGCGTGTGCGTTGGGCGAGAGTCCTCGCCTCTCGATGGTTGTGCAAATAATTTTGATATTGATTGTCCGAAAGTTCTTGTGTTGTCTTTGTGTTGGGGTTAGGTTGTCAAACTGGTTACTGGGTCTATGCAGTGGACTGGGGCAGTGTGGACTTGGGGTAGAGCGGATGTAATGGGAGTTGTTGGCATTACAAAGATGTAGGTACGGCTCAGCTGTTGTTGTTGTTGTTGTTGTTGTTGCATACCTAAAATTCACTCAAGGAGTCTTAAGACTCACGAATGCTGCCCAAATTTTGTTTTATTTCAATTGATTGCAATCTGGTGGTCTATTGGCCCGACCTCATCCTAGCTGCTGATCAGGCTTGGATCAGATCTTACCAATGTCTCACACAGATATCGAATAATCCGATTTCTCGCTAAGCAATTTCTGGCCTGGAGCGGGTGAATGTTGTTGTGGGCGTTGCTGTTGTAGGGGCTGCTGTTGTTGCGGCTGTGGAGACTTTGAATGTGCTCGCTTGTGTGGTGGTTGCTGTTGCTGTTGCTGGTGCTGTTGTTGCTGACGCTGCTGCTGCTGCTGCTGCTGTTGCTGATGCTCCTGCTGTAATTGGGATGTGGTGGAATTGGGGCGCGACCACAGCGAGGAGCGCTGACCCAGCTTCAGCTTCTTAATCGTATCTACATCGCACTCAACCTCGGCCAGCTCAATGTGATCGCCCCCATCACGTTCGCCATGGTGGAAGGCGCCGGCGCTGCACTCGGCCTGCAGCTGCAGTGGATGCAGCGTGCGCAGGATGCCAGCTCTGCATGGTTTTGTAAGGGGAAGAAGAGTATCCAGAGTTGTTTGATACTATTTGAGTTTCTCTAGCAACCAACACTCAAGCATTCAGAATAACAGAGAGAGAGAGAGACTTAGTTGTGTTCAAGTGTTCCAAGTTGTGTACATGGTGGTTGTTGGTGGTGTGATGTGCTTGCTGGCTGCTGATTAATGGGCTCCCTCAGGTCCACACACCTCACCGTAGGCCAAGTCTCATGTGTGATCTATGGGATCCATATAGGTGCACGATATCTCGCCGCCATTATAGCCAAAGCTGCTACTATCAGCCCCGCCACCGCCGCCATACTCACTCCCCCCATTGGCCGTATCCTATTTGGGCAACGGCAGCGTTGGCGCCGTAAAGAACTTCGAGGACAGCAGAGCCGTCGAGGGATTCAGCAGGCCGGTGCCTGAGACACCGCCCTGATGTAGCTGCTGATGGTGGTTTTGGTGTGAGTCATGCGCGGGCATTATGGACTTGTGTGGAATGGGTCGAAACTGTGAAGAGGGTGGCATGCAAGTTACGGGCACAACAGATGCTAGGGTACTAACGCCTCCATCCAAGCCCAACAGCTCCTGGCCATTTGCATGCGTGGGCGTCGGCTCTAGCTGGTGGAGCTTGGGCTGGATCAACAGTGGCTGCTGTTGCTTCAAACTACTGCTACTACTGCACTGGGTCTGACTATGGTTGGGGTTTTGGTTCTGGTTCTGGTTCTGGCCGGGTTTGCTATTCGACTGTTGTTTGTGGAACTGTTTCTGGTGTTGTGTGCTTATCGATGGCGATTTGACCAACGTGGGTATGTGGCATTGTATGGAGTCTTGTGATTTGAATGTGCTCGAGATGGATTTCAGATTGCCGCTGCCGTTGCGCGGTGATAGAATTTTGTTCGAGTTGTTCACTGATGTGGCTGTGTTTGTGTTTGTGGCCGTGTTTGTGATGTTGTTGTTGCTTTTGTTGCTATTGTGATGACGCGGTGTAGTATTGGTGGAAAACTGATATTGCTGATGATGATACCTGGAGCGACCGCGTCGTGGTAATGATTTTTGTTCGGACATTGGTGACAGATCGGAGGATGTGCTTGATTGTGCTCCATGGTAGATGATGCCTGCATCGCATAGAGCATTAACGTTTCGGAAAGAGAGAAAGAAAGAAAGAAAATACGGGCAAATAGAGAATTG